ACAGCTGGAATCAAGTAAGTTGGCCAACCCACAGTAGCAGGATTGCATAATGAATTCACGCTAACTTGACTCATAACCTGCCTCACAAGTCTGCAAATGCCTTCTGTTAGGAGAGGAACATCTGTATGATTTACAGTCTCAATAGAAACACATACAGTCCTGAGGAGTAATGTCTGAAGTAAGTTACTAAGTGAATCATTTTGGACAAAGCTTTTGACTCTTATTGTTCCCTAGTCAATAATTATGAGTCTGAAGTAATAAAGACTTATGGGTTTAACTAACGTTGCTCATATTTTATGCTTTTAGCTGAACACAAAAACAAATAAATGCATTAATAACTTCTAATGCAGCAACTAATGGACAAATGCAACCACAATGTAGACTTGTAGGCTTAATGGGAGAGACAGCAATACTGAATTCTGGGAAGTTGTAATGGACAATTAATTTATTACTTTTCAGATAATATCCATTGTCCATTGTCATAGATAATTAGTAAATATCTTTAAACTTGTATTTGGTCATATATAGCTGCTTGGCATCATCTAATTTTCTCCATTTTGTGTACTCCTGTCTTGAGCTGAAACTATTTTGATCATTTATTTAATTCTTTCAGTAATTTCTTTAAGCAAAATTGACGACATTTGCTGGTTTCAGCTTCACAATGTGCAGATTGTATGCTGTATTTCGGAGGTTTGGACTGACTGTTGAACAAAATATGACATTTAAAGACATCACTTTGGCATTTAGAAAATCAACGATGAAAATAATCTCTCTTCATCTTTCTTCTTTCTAAACTTACCTTCTCCTGCTCCTTTCTGAATTAATTTCCTTTCTCTGCTGGATTCTTTAAATATTCATGTCTATTTGGAACAGTTTTCTAACATTAGCAGTTCCCCTCCGCCTAATCGAAGGCTCTGAATGTCTGTAACCTGGGGCTGAACCTGTCCACCAGTCTAATGACTGGCACACTCTCATTAAGACGTCCACTACTCTTTCAATCTCTCTCCATTTTAGAGCACAAGCTCATTCCTCCACCACATCAGCTTATGGCCTTATCTCAACATGCTGTCAGCACTTTAGATTCGACCGTGTCAAAACAAGACATAACAAACGTTTAGCCTCCTCCACTTCACCACCTCTTTTAGTTTGCCTTCTTTCCACAACTTTCTCCTTCCCATCTCATCTCGTCTCCTCCCTGTGCTTGACTTATATCACTTTCCAGCTTAATCCATCATCATCAAAACTCCTTCAGCAATAGTTTTTGGTGTACATGCTGAATGTACAGTAAGGTCATGTCTATCCATTGTACTCTAATAGCCGTCCAGTTCCTGCCTGAATGACCTCACCGCATGCAGCTGTTTGAGGAAATGCCAGAAAAGTTTGGTGGCCAGCTTCGTAGCTGCACACATGTGATTTGTGAGAGTCTCAGCTGGTATGTAACCTTGGCTCCTCACTCTGACCTTTGAACCCTAAAAACCATCCATCAGTCCCCACCCCTGATGGCTCAGACTGTTCAACTTTACCGCTCCTCCTGACGTCTCCTGCTGTCCAGCTTGCTGGTTCATAAAGTCTCAGCGGACAGGCTGTTGAAAGCTAACAAAGAGGTTAATATTCTCCAAACTGTTCTTAAGATACGAGTGATTTTCTGTCCCGCTCCAGTGGAGGTTGGAGGGGGGCTCAGTTTAACGCGGGGGTATTAGCTTTCGAGGCAACAATGCAGGCGAGGGAAGAATTAAACTTGTATATCCGTTTTTGGAGGGAAAGAAATGGCATTACCCGAAGTGGGGATTTAGATTGCCCTCCTATCCTTTAAACTGGTAATCCACAATATCCTTTTAGTTTGGTGAGATCTGTGGTGTTTTTCGTGGTATTTCTAAGAGATAATTTCTGTATCAGAATAACTGATACTGTAATGTTTTCTTTCAGTTTTATGTTGATAAAATATGAATTACTGTACTGTTTTTTCTATTTATTATAAACAAACCTCTTTTGCTTCTGAAATATATTTTGTTCAGAAAATGTACTGCTCTGTATCAATCAGTGATAGGAAGAAGAGCAGGCATATATCCATATTGTATCATGGTGGATTTTCCATGTTTTGTTTGTACAGAATAGTGTTTCCTGCTGGTTCAGGACCTACATTTAGCTACAAAGTTCAAAATAGGTCTTATTTAATGTATTTATATTAATATGTTTCTTACATTTTATCCCCTGGGTTAGTGTTGTATATAAAAATGTATAACACGCAGAATATATTATTATTTAGGTATTTTTGATAGTGTGTAAAGAAATATATTCAAGATAACAGTTGGTACTTACTCACTAAAACCCACACTCTCTCACACATACTGTACACTCCCTCTCACACTGCTGTAGCTCTGTCTGTCATTTATTCTCATTGTGAAAGCTGTCTTTCGCCCCAAGTGGCTAGTATTTTAGCACTGACCAAGGATTTGACGATGACAGTCATAAGTCACTGTTTTCCAGCGTAATGACTCACTGAGTTAGACTGAGTGCTGACATCAGCCAGCCACAGAGAACTGATGAAGAGGAACCAACAGGAGAGCTGAATGAAGGCTAGGACAGCTGGTTTAAGTAACTGTGTCTTTATATCAACAGTGTAGATGCTCGTCGTCGTCAGATTTAGACAGTTTAGAGTGAATTGTCAATTTAATGTTGTTTGTTAATCAATCAGTCTTACATACTACTGATCTGATTTTGATATGCAGTTTGCTATAGTGGTGGCCTTCATTGTTCGTTTGTTTGTTCATTTTGTATTTGCACAAGCACCACACATACCCAAAAGGAGCCCACCAGACAGCTCAAATGGACCCACAATACAAACTGTATTTACATTTCTGCATAATAGACTGGAACTGACCTTTTACCCATTTGAACAGCTTGTTAGTGTTCCAAGGACTGGCTGCATCAGATGCGTGGGACTTTGTTTTGAATCTTGTGTACTCTCTTTCATCTGTATCTGTTTCTCAGCTCTGTCGTCTCTGCCTCTGCTCTGTCTTTCATCCCTCACAGTTCACTGCTTTGTTTCTTATAGACACCCAGCTGTCTATTTCCTCTCTCTCTCTGTCTCTGTCTGGTGGTGGTGGTGGGCTGCTGCAGACTGCTGTAGGTGGTCAGGATCACTCCAGACAGCAGGAGGGAGAGGAGGGTCTGTCTGGGGCACTCAAAGGACGACTGGCTGGCTCATCCTCTTCATTTTTCTCTCTTTCTCTATCTATCTAGCAGACACACTTACTGTAGCTGAGAGAGCCATTGAAGAAAGTGTTATTCAGCAAAAAAGGGGAGAGATTATTTAAATGAGAGACTAAAAAAGCAGTGGTACATGTTTTCATTGAAATAATAACCTCAGTTAAGTCTGCATGTAAAGCCTTGAAATTGAGAACTGATCTGAAAAAGAAAGGAAATGTAGAAAAACCTGATGCATGTATTTGTTTGTTTTTAAACTGAATAGCAATTGAAATAGAAAATAGGAAGAGATGATGAAGTTCACTGATTGAGAAAAGTAAAATTATTGACCAGAGTTGTACAACAGAGGGCAAGATGGCAACTGGCAGGGATCAACTTAGTCTTCATAATGGTGGTCTTTGTTTTGGCTTATATTTTTTTTTTTTACATTTTGGGGTACTTTAGTGATCCATCCTCTTTTGGGTTCATGCACAGTGATATTATGCTTAAAATACATGCATCAATTTTGGCACTTTGTATTGCCGCAAAGACTAGTGTCCAGCAAAACCTTTCCTGTTCTGCATTTTAAGTATGATACAGGACAATGAATTACGCTTCAATGGCTTCAAGGCCAGTATTAAAAACAACTGAAAATGCAAGGGTCGGAGTAATGGTTCCCTGAATATATTCCTTTCAACAAATACTGTACTGAAAACTACTGAATAAAGAAAACACTGACAGAGATGCCAGAAACAAACAAGTCAGTTTGGAACCGTTACTACCTGACACAAAACTCCCATTGTTTTGTGATATGAGGGTCTTAATTAAATTGGCAGATATTTAAAGAATGCCATTCAAATACAAGATTATGTCTACTTTAAAAAAGGAATCGTACCTACCTCCATCAAAAGGATATTTGAAACACTTAATCCTGATTACTGACTCATCAGAATTTCTTTGTTTCTCTAGCTTCATCTCTGTCCCATAAACTTCAGCATGTTTAACAACAATAATAAACAGTTTACATCACATTTGCAGCTTTGTTGTCTGTGTAACTGGACTGTGTGTGTGTGTGTGTGTGTGTGTGTGTGTGTGTGTGTGTGTGTGTGTGTGTGTGTGTGTGTGTGTGTGTGTGTGTGTGTGTGTGTGTGTGTGTGTGTGTGTGTGTGTGTGTGTGTGTGTGTGTGTGTGTGTGTGTGTGTGTGTGTGTGTGTGTGTTAGGAGAGAGAATGGAGTGCTGTGTTCACTATCAACAGGGAAGTGGTGAATTACACCATTGTGCTCTCATTACAGTCACTTTTATGTGGAAGGTGGCAGCTGTTAATCTTGGCACACGGCTAGAGCCCTTGGATTACACACACACACACACACACACACACACACACACACACACACACACACACACACACACACACACACACACACACAGGGTATGTGGCTCTGATAAGCTGGCCAGTAGCCTTTAAATTCATGAAGCAGCTACTGTTCCTCATTGTTTTGAATAGCTATCAGTTCTTGTCCCTCTCTTTGACTCGTCTCATGCTCCTCTTTTGTGGTGTTTGTGATAGTAGTCCCTTATGATCCAAAACAGAAAGCCTATTGAGTCGGCCTACTGTGTCATGGGACAGATGAAATCGCCATGACTCTACTGACCCTGTTGTGACTCACTGTACTGGAAATGCCCAAAGCTGTCAGGACATGAAGTGATGTCTCAAACGACAAATTTCTCCTTTGAACCCTTGTTGTTCTGTTGCTTTGCTGCCATGTTTAACCTCTTCCATCTCTTCTCTCTCTCCATCTTTGTCCCCCTCCAGCTGGGATGACCTGAGTCAGTCCTCGGGGCCCAGAGAGCGGTGTGCTGATGGGACCTACTGCGCCACCATGAGCTTACAAGATGGCGGCTGCAGCTACGCCAGCAGCGCCAACATGGCCACCACCAGTGGCAGCATGCGGCGGCGCCTGGAGGACCAGGAGTTCACCCTGCGCGTCTACCCAGGCGCCCTGGCTGAGGGCACCATTTACTGTCCCGTCAGTGCTCGCAAGAACACCACAGCCGCTGAAGCCATCGAGTGCCTCATCGAACGGTTGCACCTGGAGCGAACCAAATGCTACGTGTTGGCTGAGGTGAAGGAGTTCGGTGGGGAGGAATGGATCCTGAACCCTGGCGATTGCCCTGTTCAGCGGATGATGCTGTGGCCACGGAGTGCCCTGGAAAACCGCAGCGGCCTGTGCAGTGGAGACGACTACCGCTTCCTCTTGCGGGAGAAGAATCTGGATGGATCTATTCATTATGGCGGCAGCCTGCAGATGTGGCTGAGGGTGACTGAGGAGCGTCGACGCATGGTGGAGCGGGGTTTCCTACCCCAGCCTACAGGGAGCGACCCTCCGTCTGACCTCTGTACTCTTCCAGAGCTAACAGAGCGCGCCATTTTGGAAAGCCTTCGTGCACGTTTCCGCCAGGAGAAGATCTACACTTACATTGGGAGTATTCTTATTGTTATTAACCCCTTCCAGTTCCTGCCTATCTATAATCCGAAATATGTTAAATTGTACGACAACCACACACTGGGGAAACTGGACCCCCACATCTATGCTGTGGCAGATGTGGCGTATCACGCCATGCTACAGCGACGGAGGAACCAGTGCATAGTCATTTCCGGTGAGAGCGGGTCTGGGAAGACCCAGAGCACCAACTTTCTCATTCATCACCTGACTGCACTCAGCCAGAAGGGATTTGCCAGCGGGGTGGAGCAGATCATCTTGGGAGCGGGGCCTGTATTGGAGGTAAGGACAGCACCTGCAGTATTGATCAGATGTTACTGTGGATATGGTTCTGCTCATGTTGTCGGTTTGTCAGCAATTGATTTTCATGAAATTAAATTATTTGATTTTCAGGAGGTTCAGAGCTGCAGTTCCACTATTAGGTTCCACGGTATATTGGAAGCAAATACACTTAGACACTTTGCTGCCAAATTCTTTGGTGAATTGTGATACGTATGATATCTGATGCTGAATGGTGAACCTTTGGGTGGTATTTATTTGTGCTTTGAGTGCATTTACCTGACTGCCTTGTATGACTGTAAGACCACCTCAGATTAGTTTTACTGCAGGAACCTTCTCAGAAACCGACAAATATTTTTATAAATTCAGGAACTTTACCTGCAGTTTGATTCAGAGGAACTTGTGTCTAAATTTAGTTCCTGGTCCGGAGTCCCTACCCTCCAAACAGGTAAACAGAAATGTGTAGAGAACTTTTCTTCATGTAGTTCCAAAGGTTCCCAAGTTCCCTGGACCATTTGGTGGAAAAGAGACAAAAGTTAACCAAAGTAGGGTTTAAGTTCAACCTTAGACGGCATTCTTGACAAGAGCTCCTATCAGAGTCTGTCGTGTAGCTTGATTGTTCTGATTTGTAATGTTGAACCTCTTAAGTGAAACACCAAGACTAGTAAGGCTCAAGTATAGATAAAAGAAATATATGACCATGAGACTAAGACTTGTTGTAGTGCAATAGCTGTGGGGACGCTTGAATTTAGGACTGAGATATTTTTCTATAATTGTCATGTGTTTCTTAATAAATCCTGATGTTTAGTTGTGTTTAGAGAAACATCTCCTATCAAGCTGGTATAGCTGCACTTACTATAGCAGCAAGCTCAAGCCAAGCTGAAAGAGATTCATATGTTGCTGATTAGACACCCTGGTTGTAGAAAGGAAGTGACAAAAGCCTGTTGAAATCTGAAGAGAAGTCAGCAGGTTATTTCTCTGACGTTGGAATGTCAGCTCATGAGATGAGGCATGAAATGGATTATAGAAACGTCCTTTTGAAACTGGAATGCCTCAAAATGGAGGGGAAACCTATATTTAGCCCAGTCTTTACCACATATGACTCTTATATATTATTTGACCCAGAAACTGGTTGTCCAATCTCTGCATTGATGGAAAAAAAAAACCTAATGGAATGTCGCCTAATCCACCCTGGATTATAAATCAATAAAGGATTATGGATTATGGAATTTCATTGGAAATTTCATGTTTTGGAAAGGTCTGTTCAAGGACATCGTGTTCTTTCCAGCCTTACAAATAGTCAGTGATCTCTGTACCTCCCAATAGTTTGTTGTTTTCTGGCAGCCATTTTGTTCTACAGCACACAGCTTCCTGTCAGGACATATGGGGATGTCATGTCAACACGCAGCTGTGCATGTTGACACCATGTGCGTCTCATGTGGAGGTCTGTACAGTGAAACCAGACAGTTGTACGGTCAGTTGGATATACTGTTTGTCATCTGGAAATCATGAATTACGTTTCAGAACTCCTCGTTGCTTCTGGGGAAAAGTTGTAACTGCAGCTGCGTTTGTGTTTACACTTATCTTACGTAAGAGTAAATGGTCCCCAGGCTCCTCGTAAAAAAATGTTTTATTCAAAATTTCCTGAAAAATAAGAGCTTTGGTGGCATTTGACTACTGCTTCATACAATGGCATCCATCCTAAGAAGCTCTGGCACAATAACAAACAAGGGATGTTTTACACGTGTCGAAAATGATTGGTATTTTGGCTGTGTAGCTTCATCACATAGCTGCGGTTGAACCTGACCGTCAGGCGGGCACAGTTGTACTTCTGTGCAGGTGATGAAATGACGCTGTGACTGAATACCTGTCAGAGCTCAGGTGCCAGAGGCGACAGCACTGGGAGGACTGAAAGGCTTGTTTTGATTATAACACAGATAGAGAAACATTACTCTCTGAGGAACTAGATACTGTTCGGTGGCTTTTTTGCTGTGTGAGGGAGCATGACTGTGTCCCATGTTATCACTTCCCCATCAATCACCTGTCTGACCGAGCTGTGAGAAACAAGGTGGACGGTTTATGCCACAGAGAGGAACAAGGACAGGAAAATTACATCTTTGATTTGGTTCCAGTTTTCCAGTCCAGTCAGGTCCAGTGTGTAACATTTGGGAGGATCTATTGGCAGAGATGCAATATAATATTCATAGGTATGTTTTCATTAGTGTATAATCTCCTGAAAATAATAATTTTGTCACCTTAGAATAAGTCTTAGAATGATGCCGTGGGTCACCTTCCATGGAGTCTGCCATGTTGAACCGCCATGTTTCTCTCTCATGTCAAGTGAGTTGCAATCTTCAACTAATCTGCTAAATGCCACTAAATCCTACACACTGGAACTTTTAGATGAACTTTTTCACATTTTGGAAAACACAGTACACTTAATTGCTTTCTGTGAATGAGAGTACCACTCTAATATATGAACACTAAACATAAAGTTACAGCCAGCAGCTGGTTAGCTCAGCATACTGGAAATGGGGAAACAGCCTGGCCTCTGTTGAAAGATAACAAAATCTACCTTAAAGCTCCTGTAAAGCTCTCTTCTTCTTTTCTTATCTATCTTGGTTGTTTAATTTGTGAAAAAAACAAAGTGTAAAAAAAAAACATCTTTCAGAGGAGGTTATGGGAGCAATAATGTCTTCTTTTGATAGCCTGATAACTACCTCCAGCCATGAGGTAAACCCCTGTGGAATGGCAAATTGTCGTTGTTTTACTCTTACTTTAAAGGTGCTGGTAGTCTATACATTTGTACAGGGCCTGCTTTAATGTTTCCAGTCGTCATGTTAAACTAAGCGAAAAAGGCTGTTGGCGGTAGCTTCATATTTAGTGTACAGACATGGGAGTGGTATTGATATTCTCATCTAACTCTTGGCAAGAAAGCAAATAAAATAGCAGTTTGAGAGAATGATAAATAATTATACGCAGAATATATTTACAGCATGGATAAATCATCAAACAATTTGGAAGGAAGTAAAAGTAATTGGATTTTCACTGATAAGAATCAGCAACAACGATTTGTAGTTTTTTGCCATGTATCTTTAAAAAGCTGCTTTTATAAATGGGATAATCTGATAATGGGGAAAGAATTTAACTACACATGCCAAAGTGACACAGATCACACTGTATAAACTCATGACTCTCATTCTCACCATCCAACTGCTCACACAAACAGTATCTAACACCAACTGCTGTCCTGTGTGCTGTAGGTTTTCCAACATTCCCCAACAGCTGAACATAACGTCCACATTAATGGACTGTTTGCATCCTTTGACCAACAGCTGGACGCAGGGACCTTATGGGCTGCTGTGAATGCCCCCGGGCCTGGCAACTTTCTTTTGAGAAGCAGCTTTCTGGGGTTAAACAGTTTACAGCCAGCCAAGAAACAAGGCTGTTGGGTCGAACTAGCCCGAATTCTTTGGTTTCCACAAGTTGTAATGCCAATTAAAGAACCATTTGCCTCGGTCAGATGCTGCCGCTGCCGCACTAAAGCTTTGTGAGACTTTGAATGTTGGCCTGAGGCAGAGTCAGGCTGAAAATATGTGGTTAGTAAGGCCATATTGGATGGATTTCAAATGCATGCCAGTCTTGAAGAAGTTTTAAAATTCTCACTTATTTGTTGGTTCCCCTTCAACTCCCCTCGGTCTCCCTGTACAAAGCTATGTGCTCTGTATAATATCTCACCATCTACATGCAGACCCCAAAAATGTCCAAGTTGTGGTGTAATTACTGAATTTTTTCTTCTAGTCACATTGCTGTATATACAGTATATTCAACCACAATATGGAGATTTTATTTATATTTTACAGCTGAAACGATTAGTTGATTAATGGATTAGAACATTTGCAGACTGAGAGAGAAACAAAGCATTGTGAGAAAACGAGAGAACTGTGGTAAACGTGCTCTGCACATGTTTCTATAAAACTAGGACAGTTTGTGTCATAGACCTGTATTTGTGCTGAAGCAGCAGACGTCCAGACTTTGACATTTACTGTGTACCAGCATCAAGAAAGAAGGTCTGGAAGAAAAAGGAAAACATTTCTCAGGATGAACTACAGTATGTCTCGCTGGCAGGAGATGCTGCGGTTGGACGTCGATTTGAGAACATTTGTGTAAATGCCTGTAGACTCAAATAAGTCATTCTTTTTGGATTCACTTAAGAAGCTTACTGCCAACTGCATGAATGGAGGGAGGGAGAGGTACCTGCAGGCGAGTGAAATATTATTTTTTTAAACCTTGTTCGTTTATAAATATTTTAAAGCAATCATATTAAGCCTTGTGCCTTCCATATTTGATTGACAAAATTTAAACATGCTGATCTTAAATAGCACCACGGGGTGTCCTCTGAGGCAAAATCCACGGGGGATTATTTTCCTCAGTTTTAACTCTATACAGTGAAAGCTTCTTTCTGCTCAGTGGGAAATAAGCTGTTAGTGAGTGTGATGGTAAGAACAAAATGGAAAAGCTGTTTCTAGCCTGAGTTTATTTCCTGCCACTTCTTCACCTCTGCATCTCTTGACCTCTCCTCTCCTGGTCGTCCCTCTGCGTTGGATCCAGCTGAGCAGAGTGGCTATCAGCCCGACGCTTCACATCATGTTACAGTGAAGTGCAAGGTCAACAGCATTGCATGCGAAGGCTATTTTAGTTATTCGTTCAGCCAATGTGGAGGAGTGTCCCTCCTACACACAAAGACACACGAGCAAATATGTTCATATTCACAACATAACTCACAAAAGAAGGTCGGAGCAGAAAACATACGGACATGAGCTAACATGCATACTGTATCAGCGTAAGGAGTTTATTTACTTTAGAGTTTATTTTTATTTGCTCATAATCTGAGTTTTAGTCTGGTGTTTTTTTTATTACTAAACTATCAAACATCACCAAATTTGATATTCATATTTGCAAATAGAGGAGCTTGGTCTTACAGCTATGTGTGCTGCAGCGGC